CTTCCCCTGGCCTCCTCCTGGACACTGCCCCTCACCCTCACTGCCCCCCTCCCCTGGCCTCCTCCTGGACACTGCCCCTCACCCTCACTGTCCCCCCTCCCCTAGCCTCCTGGAACACTGCCCCTCACCCTCACTGGCCCCCTCCCTGGGAGCTTCTGCACTTGGCTGCTCTCATTGCTTCAGGCCTGCTTGGGACTCCCAGCTCCCAGGAAGGGCAGGCATGGTTATGTAAAGGGTAACTTAGCGCTGGGCACAATCAGCTCTTTCTTATTCCAAGGTGGTTGACCTTTGGGGGGGTCCTTCTCCTCCTCTTTACCTCCTTTCTCCTCAGGGCAGCTTCCCTGGAGAGTGATTGTAACACTGCAGTGGGGAGGTGTTTTACGTGTGAGGATGCCTCTTTCCTGGCTGTCCATCCCTGGGCTGATGATCGACCCTGCTTGAACTGCACTCTGCTGATCCACTCGTGCATTTTGCTTGGTTCTCCATTGCACTTGTCGTCCGGTGTCTTTGGTTTAGGTGTTCAATATTTTTTTAGTGTGAATTCTGAGGTCTGGAAGTCTGGAGACCTGTTTTTTTTTGTTTTGTTTTGGGGATTGGGGGTGCTGGTTGGCTACTTCCTAGCTGCGTAACTGTACACTAACCATTTTAACTTTTTGAATCTCAATTTCCTGATATGTAAAATGAGAGCTTTGGATTAATTAATCCCCATGGTCTCTTGAATCCTGAGTCTGACAGAGATTTTACCGAGTGATTTGTATTACAAAGGAGCCAGGTGTAAATGATTTTCAGACCTAGTCTGTCTCTGGATTCATCTCACCACAGTGGTTAAGTGATTGGAAGTTTTTGTTCTGATACAAAACAGCATCCTCTGTAATCACTGAGGTGTTTGTCTTTCTCTTGCTGGAGATGGAGATTATCTTGATATTGTAATTATGATTAGCTGCAAAGATGCCTTTTCTTAAGAGTAATTAGAATACCTGCAGTGAAAGAGCTTGAAACGCAGTGCAAATGAGAGCTTTCGCTTCCTGTAGAAGGGCGTTCTGGTGCCAGCAGCTGAGGTGATGTGGACAAAGAGACCCATTTTATTAGTGGCAGGGTTTCTTCAGCCCAGCAGTACTTATCTTATCCTGTTCAGAGAAGCTGCCAAACAGTGCTAAAGCAGAAACATACAATACGATTTAGCACGCAGTTCAGAGGGGCCAGCTTCTCAGATTGCATGTAAGAAAGGTCCCTTTTTCAGTTGTCCATCTGGGTTGTCGTGCAGCCATGTTGAGAGAAGAGCCACCCCTCCCTCGTGGCTGCAGGGAGGTGTGGTGGGTGGTGGGTGGTGGGTGGTGGGTGGCGGGTGGCGGGGGAGGGATGTTTGTGGGGTCCCATCATGCCTTTTGCAGCCATCTCCACTGAGAAGGGGGAACCTTTCTGTGTTTCCCTCACCTTTTTGTAGATGTGAAGTCTTCAGTCGTTTACAATAGTCAGCATAGGAATCTATTTCTGGAATTATGCTTCATTTTTTTTTTTTTGTGATTCTGGGACATTTCTGAGTATTCCATGAAAAGTGAGAGGTTTCCCCTTCCTGAGTAATGGGATAGGTGTCAGGTATACCCAAACCCTCCCCTTTTGGACCCCGGACAGGGACTTGGCTGCTCAGCTCCGCAGCCTGACATCCGTCCACCACCACGCCAAGTCCACCTACAGACCACATTGCACCACTCAGGGGCGGTGCACGTGGCCAGCACCAAGACCTGGGAAGTTCCAGGCACTGTGTCTTCTGACTCTGGAGAGCTCTAAAATTACATGACTTTTCTGGGTTTGGGTCACTTGATTAAAACTGGAAACACTGTTTAATCCTCAAAACACCCTGTAATGGAAAATGGCTACATCAGGTTGATTTGAAAATGAACCCTTTATGGTCTTGTATTATTCGTTAGGTTTTGACATGTTTGGGTAGCTCCCAGGTAGAAGAGGGTGAGGAAGGAGAGCCTTCCCCTGATTCAGAATAATGGACAATTGGATTCCAGTCCTGGGATCAGCTAAAACTAGTGTGTGTGTTAGGCAGACACTGTACCTCAGTTGTCCAAGATGCCAAGTGACTGCTTAGCTTCCTAGTCAGTTCTTATGAGAATAAGAAAATATTTCTGTGTTTTGAAAATGTTAAAGCTACGGCAATCGCTTTAAAAACTGTGACATTAAATATGAAATAGATACCTTCAGTAGCCTTCTGTAAAATCAGATGTAAAAGCCTCACAGTCGGATACTCTCTCCAGTTAATACGCTTTCTGTAACGAGGCTGGAGTGTATAGCAGACGGATTGTGTTCGTAGTGAACAGACTGGAGGTGGAGTATGCCTGTGCCTTGATTCCAGAGGAGGCAAGTGGCAGGCGTTAATGTGAGTTGCAGGTTCTCAGCTGCTGTGACCTCTCAGTCATGCCTCTGGTTGGAACGGTCTCTATCAGCCCGTGCTGCACGGGGTGGAAACCGCCATCCCTCTGGCTTGGTGGATGTCTGCTGCTTAGATACTGTGTCTCCCCTGAGTCCCCCAGGAGCCCGGGGAGAGGGGAGGGGGAGGCAGGCGGGGCTCCCTGGGCCAGAGACCAGGAGCCCTCGCTCGGCTCCCTTCCCACTCATTGTGCAGCCCCGGCCCTATCACTCGCGAGGCCTGGCAAGGAAGCGAGGAGGAAGCAAGTGCCCCTGCTGGTTCAGAATGTTCCAGTGTGGTTGGAAAGTCTGAGAAGCGGCCTGGGTGAGAAGAACAAGACCTTATTGACAGGGTTCAGTCCTGGTCAGGTCTGCTTCGCGTCAGCTTTCTACGTAATCGCCGCTCTTCCCACTCCAGGGACCTCTAGCTCAGTCACCTCTGCCTTTCTTCTTTCTTCTTTCTTTCTTTCTTTCTTTCTTTTCTTTTTTTTTAACATTCTATGCAACTATGTGGTAGAACACAAAGTGTTTTAACCTTTTATTCCAAGAGAATTAAAAACTGTGAAAAGTGTGGTGTTGTCTGCTTGAAAACAGCACTACAACAAGACCTTCCAGTATGCTCACCTCCCATCCAGTTACTTTCATTGCCAGCGTGTTTCCAGTGCGCTGTTTTCTCATTGATTGTTCTAGTTTTTCTGATGGCCGAGTAGGCCGGCCTGGCTTGTCCTGGTCTACATTGGTCGGCCTCGTTATCTGACTTAGTTTGCTTGTTGGGTATGTAAAAAGCATGTGAGAGTGGGGTGGAAAGAAACACGCAAACCCTCTCTCTCCCTCTCCACGTGAGAGTCGGCAAGCCCGAGTCTTTATGTCAAGAAGTCCGAGAACATCTGCTGGAGGTTTTAATGAACCACAAAATGTGCCCCGTATGCCTCCCCTTGTCAGCCCGCCTGGACTTAGGGAGGCTTCTGCATCAGTGTAGTGAACACTTGCGTGGCAGCCCTGTCACTTCAGGACCCTTAGCGGTGTCTCCAGTTCCAGCTTTGGGTCATGTTAATAATGAGGCTTGCTTCATTTTTCTTTTTTCCTGGGATAGCTAGTAGGAGCTTTTGAAGCTCAAAGGAATATTTAAAATTTTTTAAACTAAAAGGAACTAAAGAAAACCCAAACATCCCACAACTACTTTTTTCTAAAAAAGATTTATTTATTTATTTTATTTTAAAGGCAGAGTGACAGGGAGAAACAGGGAGAGAGAATGCACATGAGTGCTTCTGTTCATTGGTTCACTCCCCAAATGGCCACTATAGCTAGACCTGGGCCACACTGAAACTAAGAGCCAAGAACTCTATCGTGTTCTCCCCTGGGGGGACCAGAGCCCAAGGAGTTGAGCCATCCTCCACTTCCTTCCCACTGCATTAGCAGGAAGCTGGATCAGAAGCAGAGTAGCTGGGACTGGAACCAGCACTCCTACATGGGCTGCTGGTGTCACAGCTTAATCCATTGTGCCACGACACTGGCTCCAGATACCTTGCTCTTAAGTTGGGATTTAGCCACATGATTTAAAACCAAAACACATGAAGTCCTTACTGCTTTATAAACCATGAACATCTTCCCCTTCCTCAGAGTTCACAAGTGTAGGCAGTGATAACAGTACAGGTCCCTTCCCTTCACCTGAAACCTCTAGGCCCTTCAGTGACTGCAGAGTCTCTGGGTTAGTGCCAGTCCTGCCAGTGCCCACGAGTCCAGCCCTCCCCTGCCACAGCACTCACTTTCCCCTCTGTGCCCCTGGTCTTCACTCCACCCTGGAGTGTTTCATTGTCAGGGTGCCCCAGCTCCCATCTCCTCTCCCCAGAAATCCCACTTCTGTGAGTGCTTCCCTGGATTTCTGGTTTATCTTCCTGTAGCCTGAGGGCATTCTGCAGAGCTCGCGTATTTTGCGTATTTCACACAGCCAATAATTGGCAAAACCTGACCCCACGTCCACGTGATTCAGGAGCTCTGCGTTCTGTTGCCTCGTATTACTTCTCTGGATTTCAGTGTCTTCTGTCTTCTGTGGGCTTGCAGTGGAATACTGTCAGTGAAAATGCTCTGTGAACAGTGTAATGTCAAGCCATGTTTACCATCATTGTTTTGACTTATTTATTTATTTCATTTATTTTGATTGCTTTGGTCCTTGCTTTAATTTCATGTAGCTTTTCAAAATATTACACAAAAAGGGAGGCCAGGAGAGACAGAGATTCCACCTGCTGGTTCACTTCCCGACTGCCCCCAGCAGTAGGGCTGGGCGAGGCCAAAGCCCAAGACCCAGGAACTCAGTCCAGGCCCCCGACATGGTGGCAGGGACCCAGTTATCTGCTGCCTCCCGGGGTGCGCACTGACAGCCGGCTGGAATCAGGAGCGGAGCTGGCACCGAACCCAGGCCGTTCTGCATGGGACGTGAGCGTCGCAAACAGCATCTTTAATCGTTACACCAAATGCTTGCTCTTCATGTAGCCTCTTAAATGTGTTTCTCAAAACTCTCAGTCTAGGCCCCTTGTCTTTCCAGTCGTGAGGGATCTGACGTTGTCCAATTTTCCTTCTCTTCCCAGGATGGCTCGTACTTGGCCGAATTCCTGCTGGAGAAAGGCTACGAGGTGAGTGGCTCTGGGAGAGCACAGGGGTGGGTGGCCAGGTGCAGGGGCCCTGAGCTTCCTTTGCTGGGTGCTTCTTTATGCATCCTCCGTGGAAACTCTGATAACAGCTCAGAATGGGGAAGAGAATTCCGGGGGCTTGTGACCCTGTGGACTCCCTGTGCTGTTTATCTGCTGGCCAGCACGGGGGCTCCCCTGCTGCTGGAGCTCGGCCGCTCTGCACGCTCCCCTCCCTGCGTTCCCTGATAAGGCGGCAGCATGTGCAGGCCCGAGCTGTAACGTTATTAGAGTTAATTTATGATGTAATGTGTTACATAAAAAAGCCCCACTCGCAGTGAAGTCACTTAATTCGGAAATTGCACACAGCAATAAAAACCAAACTGATCTTTGGCAAGCTTGCCTGAAAAATTTACACCTGGAGGTTTTTGCTTTCTAATAAGCAGTCTTATATTTTATGGAGCTAAAACTTCTAGGTTTGCTGCTGCTGCTGTTGTATTTTTCTCCTCTTTTTCCTTCAACATCTTCTCTTTTCCTTGAAAGAAACAAGGATTCTGTTTATTAAACTAAATTAGTCAGTCAGTGTGTACAGTTTACAGTTTTTTCATTTTTAAAAAGATTTACTTATTTGAAAGTCGGAGTTGCACAGAGAGATCTTCCACTGGGTGACACCCCAAATGGCCACAATGGCTGGAGCCTTTCAAATAAATAAACAAAAAGAAATTATGAGGGCAGATTTTGTTTTGCTACGAAGAGACAGTAGAGGGCTCAGCTGGCAGATTATAGTAATGGGAGGACACCAAGATTGACCAGAGAAGTTAGGTTTGGGAATGAGGTTGTAAACTGACTGACAGACAGAAATATGCTTGACAATGCAGTGGTCAGGACAGAGCCACACAGCATAAGACATGAGCCTTCCTCAGCGCCAGGGAAGAGGTGAGCTGTGTACAGAAAGTGGGAGTGAAAGGGTGTTTATCTGTAGTGTGTCCAGTTTTCATAAGCTGCTGTCCCCAGTTGTAAGAGTCTGGTGTAATTGGAGAATGGACTGTTAAGCTCTTAAAGGAGATCTGATGGTCACACAGGGTTTACCTTGTGCCTTGGTCAAAGTCAGTGTTGGAGTGATTTTTCAGTTTGGCAGCACTGGGAAATTGTCTGAGTTCTCAGCCACAGCACCTGGTTACTGGAGGCCACAAGCAAAAGCATAGAGTACTAGATGCTGCAGTAGGTGAGAAGGGCAGACCTGCCGCTCAGGAGGCCACCAGCAGCGATTTCTGATGAGGACAAACTTGTAACTCAGTAGGTGCTGGACCCCTGGGTGCATCGGAAGCACCAAGAGGCCCTGGGAAGACGCAGGGTGGACCACGGGTGTCTTCTCTGCCCATCCCAGCAGTTGTTGGTGCTGCTTGCCTGGGTACCCCCGGCAGAGCGCTCTGGGAGCCGGGCTCCAGGGAGTGAGGGACTGGCTCAGTCCCACCGTGAAGCCAGCAGGGTGCCTTAAGATATTTTAGATTTGGGGGGCCTTGCTTCTCTAAGCGTCTCATCATTTGGAAGCTAGTCTTTGTATAAGGAATATCACTAAGCTCAGAAACAACTGCAGACAACATAGTTTGAGGCAGTAAGATGCAAACCATGAATAAAGGGACATGGTGAAGAGGAGACGTGATGTTTTCCTTGGAAACAAGGACTAGCAGTGGCAGGGAGCCTGGGCCGTGATGCGGGGCAGCGCTTGCCGTCTGCAGCAGCACCCACTGCAGGGAGCCTAGAGCCAGGGGCGGGGGTGACGGTGCCACGGTGCAGGCACAGTTCACTGTGCCCCATTATTTCCTCTCTAGTCAGAAAAGCAAAGTGGAAGTAGAAAAGGCTTTGCTAACCTTAAGGAAACATTAACATTTGTGAATGACTTGAAGAGGAATAACATATTAACAGACTGATGAGTTATGGTTAATTATCTTGTGTGATTCCTGAAGCTAATGTGGCCACTGAAATTTATGCATCTGATGTTCTGATCATTTAAAGTGAAGAAGTAGAGGATTACTTTATCCCCAGTCCAGTTTTCATTGTGAAGACCCTCTGTTTAAAGTTACATTTTAAAAAAATATTTATTTATTTGAAAGGCAGAGTTACAGAGAGAGGGGCAGAGGTATTGAGAGAGAGAGAGAGAGAGATCGATTGATCTTCCATTCTCTGGTTCACTCTTCAAATGGTTGCAGTGGCCAGTACTGGGCCAGGCCAAAGCCAGGAGCCAGGAACTTCCTCTGGGTCTTCCACGTGGATGGCAGCAGCCCAAGTACTTGGATCATCTTCCACTGCTTTACCAGGTGCATAATCAGGGAGCTAGCAGGATCGAAAGTAAAGCAGCAAGGACTTGAACTGCTTCCCATATGGGATGCTGGCAGTGCAGGCTGCAGCTTAACCCACTGCAGCACAATGCCAGCCCCAAAATTATGCTTTTTATTGTTGCTTGTTTTTTGAATTTTGCTCAAGATTAAACATTACAGAAAGCAGAAAGAGAACATTCATTCATTCTTTATTTGGTACCCACAGATGCCATCTCATAATGGGAAAACGGGAATAATAGATTTTTCTTGGAAATATCATCCTGTAAATACTTCATTTACTTAATTCCACACCAGCTAAACCTTAAAAGTCATTTTCCTTTTGACCAGCACAGAGCAAGTGAGTGGAACAGATGGTCCAGCTCACAATGGTGTGGGACTCTGGGACTCAGATGCTGACTGGCCTCCTCCTTTTCTTTTTTTATTTTTATTTTAATTAATTTATGTATTTGAAAGGCAGAGAGACGCAGAAACGTGTACCTCTCTGGATCACTTTTCAAGTGTGCGTGTTAGTGCTCATCTGACCCTTGGTGGCTGTGTGGTCCTGAACAAGCGACTCACCCTTCTAAGACTCAGTTCTCTGGTGCCGAAACGGAGCTGGGGAGCACATGTCTCCCACCGTTTGTCCTGAGGGTTAGCTGAGATGTTCCCTGGAAAACACTTAGCCAGTGGCACTTTGTGGGATCCACGTGACTGCCTGACGTGGTGGCGTCTGAGTGGCACAGAATCGGATGCTGACAAGTGGGAGCAGTAGTCCAACTGACCAATTAGCATGACTGAAAGAGCCGTACACGTTCCTTCTTGGGATGGGGAGGAAGGAAGGTCCACAGAAGCGAGGCTGTTTGTGGAAGCAGGTTCTGGTTTCAGGGCCATTGTAAGCAGGTAGGCAATAATGGAAAGCCAGAGAGTAAAAGGCAGGCTTGAACCCTTTCAAAACTAAGATTTATCTGGGAATGTATATCAACAGTAGGTAGGTGCATAATCAGGGAGCTAGCAGGATCGAAAGTAAAGTGCTAACAGGCGCAGCAGGTTAACGCCCGAAGAGCCGGCATCCCATATGGGCGCTGGTTCAAGACCCGGCTGCTCCACTTCCAGTCCAGCTCTCTGCTCTGGCCTGGAAAAGCAGTAGAAGATGGCCCAAGTCCTTGGGCCCCTGCACCCGTGTGGGAGACCTGGAGGAAGTTCCTGGCTCCTGGCTTCAGATCAGTGTAGCTCCAGCGTTGTGGCCGCCTGGGGAGTGAACCATCGGATGGAAGACCTCTCTCTCTCTCTCTCTCTCTCTCTCTCTCTCTCTCTCTCTCTCTTCCTCTGCTCTCTCTGTGTAATTCTTATTTTCAAATAAATAAATCTTTTAAAAAATTAGGTAAACTGTGGGTTTCCTTTCCAGGAAAGTAGCTGTGCTCACCTCTTTTGAATAGACATGAGATACAGGAATTGTTCAGTTATCCCTGGGAGTTCCTACAGTACTTTCTTGACTATGAACTATTTTTTTCCTGGGTTGTTTGTTGCTTATCTCGCAAGCCTTGGTACTTTGATTTGAGAAAGGACAAGCTACTTTTTGTGGGTTTTGTTTTGCAGCTACCCTGAGTGTCAGCGGGACTGGCTGGCCGTGTGGCCCGTTAGCGCCCCATCTCCACCCCCACTAGCCAGCTGTGTGATCTCAGGCAGTGCCCTCCTCTGTGGAGCAGGAATGATAATGTTAAGTTTATTGTGAAGATTAAGTGGTTCAATACCCATTGAACCCAGTGCCTGGCATTTTATCACTGCTCTGTACATGTTAGCTTTTGGTATTGTTTAGATAATCTTTACTTTTCAGAAGGTAAGTGACGTTAACTATCCCTGGAAGGTATCCTTTCCTGCAAGAGAAATGTTAACATTAAAGAATTTGAAGGGGCCACCGCCGCAGCTCACTAGGCTAATCCTCCACCTTGCGGCACCGGCACACTGGGTTCTAGTCCCAGTCGGGGCGCCGGATTCTGTCCCGGTTGCCCCTCTTCCAGGCCAGCTCTCTGCTGTGGCCCAGGAAGGCAGTGGAGGATGGCCCAGGTGCTTGGGCCCTGCACCCCATGGGAGACCAGGATAAGCACCTGGCTCCTGGCTTCAGATCAGCGCGGTGTGCTGGCCGCAGTGCGCCGGCCGTGGTGGCCATTGGAGGGTGAACCAATGGCAAAGGAAGACCTTTCTCTCTGTCTCTCTCTCTCATTGTCTAACTCTGCCTGTCAAAAAAAAAAATAATAATTTGAAGTCCAATATTGATGATTTTCTGTTTTTCTGATTTTAATAAGTAATGAAGTATTTCTCTGTTATATTGCTTAAGTCAAGTCTCAGCTTTGAAGTGAAACTTGTTTTGTTCTGACATCCAGAGAAAATGAAAGTTTTCCTTTTCATCACCTACTTAAATGGGACGTGAAATCTGTTTGTCAAAACACTCATTTCCATTTAAGACCTTAGTTTTTCAGAACTGTATTTTGCTTTGAACTGTAATTTCATAATAATTTTGATTAAGTTTATATAAGGTCAGATTCAGCTCATTTATCTTTTCAGCTTGGTTTCCTACCCCTCCTCTCTTTTTCTCCAAAAATCCTTGTACAAACAAACAAAACAAGCTCTAGCTATATCCCTTCTGTAAAGAGAAAGCTGCTAATCTCAAATTCTTAACTACATTATGCAGTTTGCACACATTTTGGCTTGTCTTAAAGTTTGTATTTCACCTGTCTCAGAAAAAGACAGACTCAGCTTTCATTAGCTCTTGGAATAATACCTGTTGTCATGGACTCAGCGTTTGGCAGCCTGCTCTTTCCCTGTATACATGTATTGAAAGTTGGGCGTGAGGGGAAATTAAAACTTTTTTTATTAAAAACAAAACTAGTGTGCTTCATGCTTTTGGTTTGTAAGCGTGACATTAAGGTCCTATGCTTCTGACTTGCTGTGACTTTGCTTTTCACACTGAATTCATCACGATCACTTAATATTTTTATCAAAACCTTTATTGTTTTGTGGAACTTTTGTTTTCCCTTTATTTTTTATTTAAGGTATTTATTAATACATTAGATTCCAAGGGTCACAGCAAATGTGTGAAATTACCAACAACACAGTTCTCATCCATTCTCGTGTTAATGTGACATTAATACAAAGTACGATTCAATGTAGTTCATAGATACAATTAGAATAATACAGTGATACTTCCTTTCTCTCTCTCTGTTTTTCTATAAAATGTATTTGTACTTATAAATTGCTTTTCTGTAGGGTTTTTTTTTTTTTAATTTTTCTGAATGGCAGCAAACTCTCATCTACTGATTTACTCTTCAAATGCCTGTAAAAGCTGGGGCCAAGGCCAGGAGACAAGAACTCAATCCAGATCTCCCACATAGGTGTCAGAGACTCCTCTGCTTGAGCCCTCTCCTGGGGTCTGCCCTGGTGGGAAGCTAGAATCAGGAGTGGAACTGGGACTTGCACCCAGGCTTGCTGACGTGGACACGGGCAGCTTAACCGCTAAAGATCCACCTTTCCTTAGGTTTTTGACTGTTAGAATATGTGAATTTTCTAGAATCCAGTAACTAGGAGAAGATAGCCTAAGTAGTAATAATAATATTCTTTTCATCATCCAAGGTAAATTTTCTCTTTTTAGAAAATAGATATTCCTCTCTATCCAATAAAGCAAAGCATGTACATTTGAGAAATTTGTATTTCAGAAATAATTTAGGCGGTAAACACCAGTTTTGCTGTGTTTAAGTATATATATGAAATTTCTTTTTCTCATTAAAATTTATTATAAGCAGATTTTTCTTTAGAATTAAGTAGCAACCTGAAAAATTGGAGCCCAGGAAGTAGAATAAATTCTGGTCTGAATATTAGTGTTATTTTCTCCATTTTTAAATTAAGAAATGAATATGTATAGCCAAATTTCAATTTAATGTTTCCTAGACTTTTAATATTAGCCTCTAAAATGGCAAGCAAGTTTGCAATGTTCTCTTCTTAAAATATTTTCATGTTTACCAGCCTCTTTTGGGTTTCGTTCTTTTGGAAAATAGTGTTGATGAGTGCTTTTCTCTTTGGCTAAAACAGCCAACCATCAGAATTATTAATGTGGGTGTGCTGCGCCTTTTGCAGAAGTCAGTTCCTCATGTGTGCCGCATAAAGTGACGATGCCACTTCTTTCTGTTTGAAAGAAGGTCTTATGTGCTTGTAATTTCCCCCTTGCATTTGGAACACTTGAGTCATGCCAAGGATTAATTTTAGTTTGAAATAGACAGAAAATGATTGAGTTAAAATATAGAAGTGTATTCAGCTGCAAACGAACTTACCCAATGTTAGAAGGAACACGTCTAAAATAAGTCACGGATTAAAACTGCCACCAGTAGAACTGGAACTTGGGTAGCTGGTGACATAAGCTGATGTGGGCGTTGGCAGCACAGAGGGAGCAGTCTTGACACAAGGAAGTGGGACTAGGTCTGGAACAATTTCCCTTGTGTATCACACACAAATAGTCTTTTCTTCAGTATCAGACAGGTATGCATTCCTGTTCCAACCACTTTCTCTCTCTCCTACTTACCATGGTTAACTCAAGATTTAACTACAAAAAAATAGAGTCCTCTCTTCATCTAAGTTTTCTTCAAGTCTGATAACCAGTAGGATGTGTGCATCTTTTCCCTAACCTGATGCTGTTAGCCTTCTGACTTTTCCATACAGCTGTGTGATAGCAGCTGCCTTCTGATTATGTCTGTGCCCCAGAATACAACGTGTTCAAGCACTGGGGACGTGGGAGAAGTGGCTGCCTGTGCCTCGCGTTCGTCAGGCCACAAAGCTGTTCCGATGCAGCCTCCCGCCGTCTGTCTGCAGTTTCAAATCAAGGAGATATTTTTGTCAGCAGCAGGGCTGTAAGTGTCTGTGTTTGGAAAAGCAGACGTGAATATCTACAGCTAAGCGTGCAGTCACGTAATTATCTGGTACTTTTGTGGAGATTGGCCATAAAACCACCCAGGAAAGGAAGAGGTAGAGTGATGGTAGCTGGTGGGTAGTGGTTGAGCAGGAAATATGCAATTGAACTGTATGTAGTAATTTTAACAATAATGTTTATAAATTATAGTTTTCCACAAAGCTAGACATTAACAAAAGAATGTTTGATTTTTCTTTTTAATCCTCATTGCATGTTTATGATTTACTTTTGTCTTTCTACACTGCACCAACTCAGGTCCATGGGATTGTGCGGCGATCCAGTTCCTTCAATACAGGTCGGATTGAGCACCTGTACAAGAACCCCCAGGCTCATATTGAAGGAAGTGAGTGATTTTCTTTTTCTGCCATCTCTTTCCGTGACTTCGTATCTTTAGAGATATTTTCAAATGTCATTTTTCTCAAAGTCTATCAAGTCACAATTACTTACCCATGAGTTACTGTAGTGAATGTAGCTTGCGTGCTTTGAAAGCCTGCGTTGTTTGCTGCCCTAGGCTGTGGTGTCATCTTGGTTTGGCTGTTAGCAGGGTATTGTGTAGGTGACTCAGACAGACCAAGGGCAGATATGCCTTTGATCACCCTCCTCCAGGTGTCCCTGTCCCCTCCAGTAAAAGCAGGTCCCTCCTTTCTTTTAACATTTGGTCCAGTTAAACAGTCACTGTTATCTGTGCTGTACAGATATCTTCAGAAGGTGTACACATTATTACAAGGTTTTCTTTTTCTGAATCTCCCTGTTCTGTAACACAGCTTACACCCTGGAGCCCAAATGTGTGTTAATTGGGTAACATCTGTTATTATGTTAAGATTTTTTTAAAAGTTCGTGTGAGTTTACCCCTACAAATCCTTTACAGATGTAGGCAACATGTGCAAATTTCTTTTTTCTTTATAGCTTCTTTTATTTATTTATTTATTTAATTTGGAAGGCCGAGTTAGAGACAAAGGTGCGAGAGAGAGAATGAGAGAGAATCTTTTGTCCTTTGGTTCTCTCCCCAACTGGCTGCAACAGCAGGCTGACGCCAGGAGCCTGGAACTCCATCTGTGTCTCCCACGTGGGTGCAGGGCCCAAGCACTCGGGCATCCTCCACTGCTTTCCCAGGTGCATTAGCAGGGAGCTGGTTGAGAAGTAGAGCAGCCAGGACTTGAACTGGTGCTCACGTGGGGTGGCAACATCACAGGGGACAGTTTAACCCGTTGTGCCCCAACACCCACCCCACTCTATGGTCTCCTTAAAGGTGACAGTATCCTTTGCTGCCTTAGAACCATTTCTATTTTGACCCTAGTTTAAAATTCATATAAAATTTTAGATATTTAAAAAATTGAGCTTATGTCACTTTGTTCTATGTAACGGTGTGTTTTTGAATTCTAAAGACATGAAGTTGCACTATGGTGACCTCACTGACAGTACCTGCCTTGTGAAGATCATTAATGAAGTAAAACCCACAGAGATCTATAACCTCGGAGCCCAGAGCCACGTCAAAGTAAGCCATTTTCACGATCATGATTCCTCTGGCTGTGTTCCTGCCATGTCTGTGCTTCGCAACCACTGAGCGTGGCCTTCAGGGTTAGTTGGTAGCGTTCGTCTATTTTGGGTTGTTCCTACAGACATGAGCCCTGACTGGACGTGTTTCCTGCCATTTCAGATTACATTGTGAATGAAGTGTTTTGTTACAATATTGGAAGGGGTAACTAAGTAATATTTCCATTTTAATACTAATTTTTAGTATTGGCTGCGTTATCAGCTGGGAGAGTACTGTTTTCAGACCCAATAAGATATTAAAATAAGTTGAATTGATTTTTTTTTTCTATTGTGAATGGTTGTCATTATTGGCAAAAAAGTCCTTTTTAGCCTCTTTTCTTCCTCAGGTATATAGGAAGTGTTGATTTCTTTCATTTTGTTCAGGTTTTCTGGTAGTCTGTTCATTTTACTTCAGTTCTTTCTTGAATGAATCCCGGTAGACCTGGGAAGGCCAGGGATTCAGTGGCTGCTCCTGCTGCTCACCTGAGTGAATGAAATCTGAAGCCAGGGGTGATACGAATTCTGCTCGGACACTTATTCAGTCATGGTAGTTAATAGAGCTTAGAAATAAAAGCAAATAACTGAATTTAAAAAGCCAAAAAAAAAAAAAAAGTCCAGAAAAATCTATCAGCAATACTTGCTGTTAAGTGAACAGTACGGCGGTTTTGTTTCAGAAAGTATTTACTGTGATTTTCTGTTCCTCCCTGTCGCCGACTTTGCGTGGAATAGAAGCCGTGTGTCTTTTCATAGACCTCTGCTGGTTTAAAGAGGTGTCATTAAGTAGGTGCATGGCAACCAGGTGAATATGGTGAGAGAGACATGCGAGAAGCTCAAGCTTGTGGTTGATAGCAGATTGAAAACTGGTTGTCTGCATAATGCATTTTTCTCTTAAGTGTTAACCTTGAAGGAGAACCACACACTGGTCATTAAAGACACCATGTATCTGCCTATGCCATCAGAAAAACAAACAAGCAAACAAAAAACCCCTCTTAATCTCCAAGGGTTCTCTTCTATATCTGGGCTGAAAGTCTGCCGTGTGGAAGTGTCGGAGTCTGGGTTGGAGCGGAGCTCATTGTCACTCTGTGTTTCCCGTTTCTCCTGCGCGTGGCTGTCTGTCTTCTTTCAACAGCAGTGACCCCCTCATCCCGGGATTGAAGATGTAGCTTCTCCTGACTGAGGCCGTGTCTTCCACGCGGTGATCCACTGAGCTGCTTCTTGGCCAGCTGTGAGAGTGTCTTCCAGACGAAACAGGATGCTTCGTAACGAACACTCTGTGACTCAGTTTCCTTAAGATTAAGAAGTCCCCTTTGTGATCGTGCAGACTGTCACCTCCGGCAGCTACAAACTGGCATGGCGGGAGGATGCGGTGCACTGTAGGAAGGCTTTCCCTTTCATTTTAGTGTTCAGCGGGCTGGTCCTTTCCTTTCTCCAAAACACATTGGTGACTCAGTAGGTTACATTTCTTTCTAGTTGCAGTGAGCATAATAGCATTGGTTATTATTCCAGAGACTGGTAAAGTGCTGTAAGTAATGGAAAATTTAAGAGATTGAGTTGATTCCTCCTAGGTTGCTGTGTATGTCTAGCTTATTTTACTTTTATCATTTTTTGGCTGCATGTCCTAAAGGTCGGTTAGCAGGCATAAATGATGCTCATGTGAGAATTTTGGTTTGTCACGTATGTTAGTCTCTCTGCAAGTATTTATTGAGTGCATACTTCCTACGAGGTTCTCATGCATGCTACAGTGGAGGACACAAAGTGTGTGGAGGGTTGCAATGTTGCCCGTTAGTGGCAGCGGTTTGTGGCAAGTAGAGGCTGGCCTGATGCCTTGACTGTTTGATAGAGGGTGAGAAAGAACTTCTTTCTGAGGGGTTGTGGAGGTTTCCAGGAGGAATTCACATCGAATCTGGTCCTGGAGTAGAAGAAGGACATGGACAGACAGAGTGGGAAACTGAGATTTGAGATGGAGCTGGTAACCTAAGCCGAGAATTGGATGTGAGAAACCTTGGGCTGTGTTTGCCATGTGATGTGCATTCTGGGTTCGCTGAGCAGGAAGGATGTCAGGAGAAGCGGGAGGTAAGGCTGAGCCGTAAGTGGGCTACACCCAGGCAGCTGCTGCATCACCGGAATAGGAAAGGAGTGCATTCAAAGACGAGGTTAGAGGTTAGCATCTAGAGAGAGGGCTTGAGAAAAGATGCAGAGCTGTGGGATGATGGTGGCATTGGAAACGGGGAGGAGGAAGACGGGGGCACCTGGTGGAGCTGACTCCTCTGTGCGCTCATGTGGTTTCCAAGGAGTTGCTGCAGTGGGGTCAGTGTGCCATGCCCAGGGAAGCGGGTAGTTGATGGGGCCACAGCGCTAGGCGTTTGAGGAGGGACTGCTGCAGCAGGGTAAAGAGAGTGCGACGTTCTTTTTGGACACCTTTTACTGTCAGTACTTGTTCCTTCAGGTAAAACTGGTCATGAGGTAGTTTAAAATACATGTGATGTTGAGAGAGATTTGGGGTACAGAGCGGTAAATCCAGGTTTTGGAGTTCTCGAGGTGCCAAGTAGAAGACTGAAGGTTAAACTTTGGGGACATGCCTGTGGCTAGAGGGTGGTAGGAGAAAGAGGAGGGCTGATGACAGGGACAGAGGAGATGGGGTGGTGGTGGGTGGCAGTGTGTCACAGAAGTAAGGGGGGGTGGGGTGATGGGTCCAGGCAGAGGTCACAGGCCTTCGCGGTTGGGCTCCAGAGAATTTGCAGCTTTTAAAAAGAGCATATTGGTACTGGGACAGAGGAGAGCGCCAGCGTGTGGAGGGCTTAGAAGCTGAGCAGTCCCAAGTGGAATGCACATTGGATTCTTTTCTAGAATGATGAGAAAACATGATGGATAAAGCTTAAGTCAGCATCTCCCGTCGATGGCTGGTCCTCTCCCGGTATCTCTGATTCCTTGGTGCAGGGTGAGGTCTGAGGCTTGCGTTTCTAGTATGTGTCTAGATAGTGCTGCCCCGACCTAGGGACCCCCCTTTGAGAACCACTGCTTTATTCTCTGGGTTTTGTAAATTGATTTATGCATATAAAATACAGGCCTCCACCACATTCCCCTTGGAGCTTCTTCATTCAGTATATCAACTTTTGAGTTTGATCTATAATAGTCTTGTTGTTTGCCAGTTAATGGCTGTGTGAGCTCTTGATACACACGACTGCATATGCAGTCACGAATGGTGAGAATGGAAGGAATCTGAAGAGAACCTGACAGATGCTTGTCCCAGAGTTCTTCACAGTCAGAAGTTGCTCTTTGTCCGCAGCCAAGTGCGTATTCTGAGAGAATAAATACTTTTGGGATCCTCCCAGCACTTTAGAGAAGCAGTATGAGTATTGGCCGTTTTTAGCATGTCCTTTAAAATTCCATGTTTTATGCCACTATTTATGCTTGACCTAGATGTAGACGGTAGATGCTCAGTCACGGAAAGAGTGGTGTGGGAAGGGGACTGGGCTGGTGGCACCGACTGTTCACCTGCCTGCCCGCTGAGTGAGCGCTGCTGGGCCCTCTGACCTTTCACGGTTCAGCATATTGCTTCCAATTGGTTGCCTCTGTCAGGAGCATCTTGTTAGGGTAACAGGATGGAAAACACACTCTATTCTTTTTAATTAACTTCTTTGTACCAGTCAGCTTTGTAAGATTTAGTGTATTCATAGACAGTAGTTTTTTTCTTAAAGGAAGAAGTTCTTTTCTGACAGTGGAATGCTTACAATATATTAGAGTAATTCAAATACATTTCTTATTGTTTGGTGCTTCGTTTGACAAAAGGTTCTAATATTAGCACATTTTGCATTCAGTTTTGAATCCGTGACTTGTAGACTGGACATTGTTTGTGTTGGCATCTCTTCTGGAGGGATAAAGTCTTCTATCACTCTCACTTCCAGTTAATTTGATGTGGGCTATGGTATGCTAAAAGTAAGGAAAATAAAATAATAGGAAGTTGGTCTGGTTTCCTGTAGGAAACCAATGGAGATGAAATTGGTTCTTGGAATAAGCCCACAGCAGTCTGGGAAGTCCTGACTGAAGACATTTTTCTGAATCATAAACAGAAAAATTATGACTCATGAAATAGGTCATTGAGAGGCTGATTTGATCTTATGTGGGAGAAAGTGAGAGATGACTGAAATGTGCTAGTTATTAAAAGCACCTAGACCTTGCTTGATGACATCATATAAGCAGGAACAAATTATTCAGCAAGTACTGCCGCCCATTTTGTTGAAGAAAATGTTTTAAGAATCTTTCTTTTTTGCTGTTGTTTTTAATCTCTTAACTGTGTAAATAATCGTGTTTCTTATCTGTTCCACATTCATTACTGTCGTGGTCTTGGGTTTGCCCGCTATTTCTCCCAGCTTTCCTGATAATTTTGCATCGCTCTTGAAGCTGTGGTGTTCGGTAAGATTTTTTACAGTGCATTACTTACCCTTTGTCTCAGTGTCATGTTGAAGTTGCTCTGAGTTTTTTATAAGAAATGAGAATTATGTAGTTGTGGAATGTTAGAGCTGGAAGGAACGTTCAGAATAACGTAGGTTTTATTTTTACAAATGAAGTCACCTATACGGAGCCAGCCGTCTGGTTATTGGGCAGTCTGGGATTGGGACTTCGGTCTGCACATTCTGTAACTGAAAGATCGTTTGAGGAAGGGACCCTCTCTAGTGCCCTCGAGTACTGCTGACACCTCACCTTGCTTCCTGCGTCCCCTCGTGTCTGGGGGCTCTTCCTGAGCTCATTTGCCCCCCCCCCCCCCCCCCCGTGTCTTTAGTGGACCCAGACAGTCACTTGCTCTTCTCTTCATGGTTTTGAGAAGGATTTTCAAATCTGTGCTCAGTGTTTTCTTCACCTTTCTCTTATCCAGTTCGAGTAACTCTATGCTTTCTAACCCTATAATTATCTTTATTATTGTTCCTTTTGGTTCTCTATGTTGTTTAATTTTGTTTCGCGTCT